CGCCAGAGGAGTAGAGGTGTTACAAGAGAGTAACAAACATAAAAAAGAAGAAGGGGAGATAAGGACGATAGATGTTTGATAGGGAGAGAGAGACAGACACACAGACAGACAGACAGACAGACAGACAGACAGACAGAGAGAGCAACAGACAGTGAGAGAGTGAGTTTACCACCAACAATACCATAACGACCTCTGTACGACGTACAACTCACCACGGCACATACTAATGACGAGCTTCCTGTACTTGAGTTCGCCCGTGACCCACCATCGATACCATAACGACACCTATATGCTGTACAACCCACCAACGATATCACAACGACACCTGTACAACATACAACTCACCACGGAACATGCTAATGACGTGCTTCCTGTACTTGAGCTCGCCCGTGACCACGATGCGACACTTTGTGGGCGACACGCGTGTCAGGCAGTAGCGCAGCAGCACGTAGAAGGAGTCTGCGTACGGGATGCCGCCATTACAACACTCGCAGTCCACGTGGAAGATACGACCGGGGCGACTGATGGAGTAGCAGATCTGTGGCCAGACAGAAACATGGGCTTTTTGTTTGTCTCTCTCTCTCTCTCTCTCTCTCTCTCCCTCTCTCACACATACACGTTTCCCTTCTCTGTATCTCTCTCTCCCCTTTTTTTCTTTGTATCTCTCTTTCCCTCTCTCATACACACACTCATTATCTTACTCCTTCTCTCTCTTTTTCGTTTTCTTTCTCTGTATCTCTCTCTCTCTCTCCCATACACACACTCATTCTCTTACTCCTTCTCTCTCTCTCGTTTTCTTTCTCTGTATCTCTCTCTCTCTCACATACACACACTCATTCTCTTACTCCTTCTCTCTCTCTCTCCTTTTCTCTCCTTCTCTCTCTCTCTCTCTCTCTCTCTCCTTTTCTCTCTCTCTCTCTCTCTCCCCATTTCTTTCTCAGTACAGAGGAATCCTGTTATAACGAGAGGGAGGGGACTGGTGCGAAATGTCCGTTAGATCAGGATTCTCGCTACAGGGGATCCAGTAATAAATTCAAGGGAAATAATAAAGTAGTCCTAATCTATGAGTTTGGTGTTCTGTTTATTCCTTTTTGTTATCTCCCCTGACGATGATTTTCTTCTTCTAGACCTCCATGTCTTACTTTATCAAAAATCGAATCAGGTTTCTTTCTCTAGCGCAAGGCGGAATAGCAGATCGTTGAGGAGATAGGAGGGAGTAAATGTGACTGATGGAACACCAGATCAGATAAGAAAAGATTCGAATGATGGAACAGCATGACAGAAATACTTTGACCGATGTTAGAGCTAATATGCGAGAAAATGCGAGAATGTGTGCGTGTGTCTGTGTGTATGTGTGTGAGCATGTGTATGTGTGTGAGCATGTGCACGTGCGAGCGCATGCGAGTCTGCGAGTGTGTATGTGTGCCAGCATGCCTGTGTGTATGTCTGCATGCGTGCATACGTGTGTGTATACATATGAGTGAGTGTGTGCGTGCGTGTATGATTGCGTATGTGCGCGTGTGTGTTCTACTTTACTTTTCCCCAACGACACCTTTACCTGCTTCTCGTTGGACGGAGACGTCTTCGGCCCTATGGAGTTGTTCAAGGTCAGGGTGTAGGAAATATTGCGCACTTTGTGGCCGTTCTCGTCCGGCTCCTCCTCCCACGGGGGCAGGTTCAAATCTGCAGCAAAACAAAAAGTTCACTTACAGTGAGGTAAAAAATTTGGGACGCATTGTATCGTCAAATATCTCCTCAACTATCGAAAATAAAACTCTTCAGCTTTTGCACAGTGACTTGTATAAATTTTTCTTTTAAACACCGCAAAGTAAGAAGATATTTTGATGGAGCCAATCATAATTTCCATGGAAATATGGAGACCCTTTTATATATAAGAAAGTGGCGATGGATGGGACACACCTTCAGAAAGCCCAGCGGCAACATCACAAGACAGTCACTGCAATGGAACCCGCAGGGAGCACGAGGCAGGGGTAGGCCACGAGAGACATGGAGGAGATGTGTGGAAAGGGACATGAGAGAAATGAAGCTCACTTGGAACGAGCTTGCTAGGAAGGATGGCCCAGGACAGAGATAAATGGAAGGAGCTTGTTTGTGGCCTATACCCTGCCAGGGGTGAAAGGCATTGATGATGTTATAAAAGAAATGAATCTCTATTCTGTACTGGAAAATAGAAATATATAAATCTTTCAGACTGCCTCAGGCAAATATTTGTGCAGAAACACTTTTGTAGTTATTTTACAACAAAGTCACACTCTGACCCTACGACTGGATGAAAAATGTCAACTCTTTTTTTTAGGTCCAAAACCATTGCCCAGGTTTAAACTAATGTTCAAAACTTCACTTCAGTTACGATGACCATTTGTCAGTCTGTCTGCCTGTCCGTCAGTCCGTTTTTTTAGTAGAGGTTTTACGGCGCTCGCAACTGCACAAGGTCATATGAACGCCAGAAGATTAGAGGTGTTACAAGAGAGTCATCATCATCCGGTGCCTTGCCGACTGACGTGGGCGATCATGGACCTCCACTTCCATCTGTCTTTCGAAGCAGCAATGGTGTCTGTTGTTCTTGCT